ATCAAACCATGGTTGGCGAGAAAGGCATCAGTCTTTCTGGAGGACAGAAGCAAAGAATCTCACTGGCTCGCGCTATCTACAGCAGGGCTCGTCATCTATTGCTCGACGATTGTCTCAGTGCTGTGGACTCTCACACAGCAAAGCACATTTTCCGAGAGGCTCTCAGAGGTCCATTGATGATGAACCGAACCTGTGTACTTGTGACTCACAACGTCGCTCTGTCAGTTCCTCAAGCCGATTTTGTCGTCGCCCTCGACAATGGTAAAATTACCGCTCAAGGACGCCCAGATGATGTCGCCAGTTCGGGCGTTTTTGGTGAAGACTATTTCAAGTCTCGGCCCGCCTCGAGAGCCAGTACCCCTCGTTTATCACGCATGCCATCTGACGCGGGTGATGAACACACAGATGAACAGCCCTCGACAAACGGAAAGGTGAACGGATCTTCTAGCAAACCGACTACGCAGGATCAGAAAGGGGACAATGCACAGTTGAAGCTGACTGAATCGAAAGCTGTTGGGAGTATCAAGTGGTCGACCATTCGGCTTTACCTCAGATCGATGGGTCCCTGGTACTACTGGATAAGTGCTGCTCTTGTCTTCAGCTTGCAGCAACTAGGATCTGTCTCGACCAACATCTGGATCAGACAGTGGGCGAATTCCTATCAGTTTGAAGAAAACGGCTCGGTTGATGCCGGCACCTACGCTGCTGCGACAGCTTTCAAGTACCCGTCATTCAATGCTGGGGGTGTTCCGCGCACCTCCAACTCTTACGTTCCCCAGTTCGGTGTACAACGAAAACCAGCGACCAATGGCGATGTGAATGTCTCCTACTATTTGGGTGTCTACGCACTTCTGGGAATTGGCTACGTCCTAATCTCCCTATTGAGGGAGGGTGTTCTCTTCTGGGGCTCTCTCAACGCATCTTCCCGGATCCACAGGCGCCTTCTAGATACCGTAATGCATGCCAAGTTCAAGTTCTTCGATTCAACCCCACTGGGTCAGTTGATGAACCGGTTCTCCAAGGATATAGAAGCTGTCGACCAAGAAGTCGCCCCTGTCGCTATTGGTATGATTCACTGCTTGGCATCCGTCATCATGATAGTGATTTTGATCTCTGTTATAACTCCTGGTTTCCTGATCGCGGCAATCTTCATATCTATGATCTATTTCGCTCTAGGGGCTGTTTATCTCAACGCGTCTCGTGATATGAAGAGACTGGAGTCGGTACAGCGAAGTCCTCTTTACCAGCAGTTCGGCGAGACCTTGAACGGCATCGTCACCATTCGTGCGTATGGCGATGGTCCTCGGTTCATAATCGACAACCACCGGCGCATCAACGCCTACAACCGTCCCCACATATATCTCTGGGCTGCAAATCGCTGGCTGGCATTCCGTGTGGACATCACGGGCGCCTTAGTTTCATTCTTCACTGCCGCTTTCGTTCTGATCAATATCGGGAAAGTTGACGCTGGTGCTGCTGGCCTGTCTCTCACGTATGCAGTCACTTTCACCGAGAACGTGCTGTGGCTGGTTCGTCTGTACTCGGAGGTTCAACAGAGCATGAACTCAGTTGAACGAGTGAAGGAGTACCTTGACGTTGATCAAGAAGCCAAGGCAGTAATTGTCGACTCGAGGCCCCCCGCCGACTGGCCCACTGGAGGCGCCGTCGAATTTGTCAATTATACTACCCGGTATCGGCCTGACCTTGATCCTGTCCTTCGAAGTGTGTCATTTGCAGTCGAGCCCGGCGAAAAGGTTGGTATCGTTGGCCGCACAGGTGCCGGAAAGAGCTCCCTTGCGCTTGCGCTTTTCCGGGGACTTGAGGCAGAGCAGGGACAGATTCTCATTGATGGACTAGACATCGGCACCATTGGACTCCGCGATTTGCGGGAGGCAATCACCATTGTGCCCCAGGATCCAACTCTTTTCACAGGAACCATTCGAAGCAACCTTGATCCGTTCAATCTATTCAGCGATGAACAGATCTTCACAGCCCTTCGTCGTGTCCATCTCATCGGTTCGGGGACGTCAGGATCGGCAACTCCTATTACGGCCAGCACCGTGTCAGTCGCTGAACCGCACCTCATATCGACCCATGGAGCCGACGTGGATAGTGCCGCTGTTCAAGATAATAAGAATATCTTCCGCAACCTGGAGTCTCAAGTCTCCGAATCAGGCTCCAATCTGTCTCAAGGCCAGAGGCAGCTTCTGTGCCTTGCGCGCGCTCTTTTGAAGAACCCCAAGGTCCTGATGATGGATGAGGCGACCGCATCTATCGACTACAACACTGATTCCAAGATTCAAGAAACGTTGCGAGAGTTGCGAGAGAACACCATTATCACAATTGCACACCGCCTGCAAACCATCATTGACTATGATAAAGTCTTAGTGCTTGATCATGGCCGGGTCATCGAGTACGATCATCCGTGGACGCTGATCAACAAGTCAGATGGGCTGTTCCGTAGCATGTGCGAGAACAGTGGCAATCTAGAGGTCCTCCTGGACGGCGCGAAAAAGGCATGGGAAAACAAGCGCCTTGTTGATGACTCATAGAGTTCAATACATACTACCTGTTAATCATTTCATTTTCTCTTCCTCGTTTGGGTTCCTGTTACAGCTATAGGGACCAAAAGTCGCGTATATCTTTTTTTGGGAGGCTACCTTATTCTTGGGACTGATCAGTATTAGTATTCTAGCACATATGGCGATTAGAATGCTTCTCCTTACTTACATCTCATATTCGTATTCGACAAGACCGCATATTATTATTTTGAGAATGCTACAATTTTCTTTCGTTCTGAGTTGTGCACTGTGGATAGTAGGAAGTTGAATGATGCCTCAGTCATTCACATGTTTCTTCTTTGGGACTAGCGCAACATAACCATCCATGCTCAAAAGGGTAGGAGACGAACGTCACCGACAACATCTACTTCTAACGGCTGAAACAACTCTCTTCGGATCCTCAGCAGCAAATTTTGATCTTGGATGGCCAATCTTGAAAAAACAATGCTACTGAATCTCAAAGACGATGGATGATCCCTTGACTCGGCCTCACCGTTCCGGACATGATATCGGGGCTCCAGATTTTCGGAGCCGTACGGGACCCCCGCCCACCATTCATGAGATCATGGTGGCCAAGTGATTGGATATCTCAACAGACGGACGCGTACCCCTCAGGTTCTTACCATGCAGAAGAATCCGAATCGCAGAGTCTAGGTCGAAGTATTCTTGTTGTTCGACCATTGTTCGGTATGCAATTGCGACTGGATCCGAAGAACTTTGTTTCTAGTGACCAGTGTCGATGATGCAACGGAGCCGGGAAGACAGCTCTATGCGCATAGAATTCCGCTTGAACAAACTCAATCGTACGCGGGAATAGTCCAGATTTCATCATATGGTTGCATTCATGACCGGTTGAATAGCTCGTCGTTGTTCATAATGACTGCAAGGACTTTGGGCTGTTCCACCGAGGGAGCTTATAAGAGAGTCACTCGGCGAAAGTACGCTTGGCACAAGCTGTATTCTGTTTCAATTTTGAAGTATATCAACTTCTCGTACAGCCTAGACGCATCACTCAGTCTAAACGAAGTGACTCTCTAACTCTCACCATGCGTATCCTCACGACATTGAGCGGCCTCATTCTGGCCGGCGCGGCCACCACCGCCGCCCAGAATAACAGTTTCTGCAGCCCCCAGTCTGGCGACGCCCAGGTAGTCCAGTACGCCTGGGCCCTCGAATACCTGGTCCAGCAATACTATGCCTCCGTCCCGGTCAACCAGACCTTCCTCAGCTCGGCGCTGAACAGCTCCACCGCAAGCTACGCCCCCAACCTGCAGGGCATCAACCAGCAGAACCGCCTCGGCGTCCGCGCCACGCAGCAACTCGGCAAGAGCATCAGCAGCTTCACCGCACCAGGCTGCAACTTCACCTTCCCCGCCCCAAACAGCAGCGAGGTCTTCCTCACCACCGCCCAGGCGTTCGAGTCCAACGTCTCCGCCGCCCTCATCGGGCTCGAGGGCTACACCCAGGCCCCCGAGGTCTCCTTCCTGATCGCTCGTCTGGCCGCCCAGCACGCCAGCCACGCCGCCTACCTCGCGACCACCCAGGAGGCCGTCATCTTCCAGAGCAACGTTACCTCGCTGGTGGACGCGTACAGCCCCAGTTACGTGCTCTCCAACGGCACCAGCCGCGGCCAGCTAGGCCGCTACTTCAAGGGATGCGTCTCGGCGCCTCAGGCCCCCTGCGGTAATCTTACCATCGGGCCATTGGGTGCTACTAGAGGTGGCAACTCCTCTTCGACGAGCCCGAGTTCTTCCGCGTCGCCTTCCGCGTCGTCTCCCTTGTCGACCGCCACGTCTAGCTCCGCTTCTGGTACTGCCACTACGGCGTCTAGCAGGAGAAGGGTCTGGTAAAAAGTCAAAAAGGACTGTATGTTGCATTCTTTTCAAAGCCGCCTGCAAAGGCAAGAAGTAGATCCTCATGGCCTTAGTACCTAATACGATGGAAGGATGGTGTTGCTGTAATTGACTAAGCGGGCTACTTTCCTTAGCATTATGCCCTGTTACTTGAATAATTCTAAGGAGGATTAACGCTTAATCACAAGGTAGTATATTAATCGATGATGATATGTACTCATACGCGATTGTTTCTCATATACACGTATATACACGTCCCTGATCAAAATCAAAAGGAGCTCACTATGTACCGTAAATGTTCTATAGACACTGGATCCTTATGCGCCAATAACCCTTGGTATCCAAAACTATCGTAATTCCAGTTATGCAATTGCTACCCGAGTAAGTGGGCACATCTGTGACAAGACCTTTACACCCGAAATCTGAATGAATGATGGCATAAAAGTCGCCACTCTGGTGTCGCTGAGTCGCAAGAAGTAAGGCCCCGGACGTTCCGGACTCAATGAGCTCGATACTATCCGGGTCACTCCGAAGCAGGTCTGGAGTTATCCTTCCTTCCTTCCTTCTTGTGTCTGTTGCCACGTCTTCAGTCCTGCTTGATCAAGGACAGGTACCTTTCCAGACTTTCCCCCATCACGTTAATGAAGGGCCACTGGGTGTTTCGCCGGAAAAGGCGGGCCCAAAGTTTGATAACTGCAGATCCAAGGCTTCGTGGATCTTGACTTGGGGGTGTGTCCCCTTCGTCTAGATCCATTGAAGCATATGCCTCTTCGACTATGCAACGTGTCCAATGCAGGATTCGACTCTCATTTTCTAAAATTGAAAGTTAACGAGTTAGCAATCGACGAGAGTATCGGGCAAGAGTCGCCTCATACCACTCAGGGTCGTTTGATTTCCAGCCTCTGCTAGGGACAGTAGCCATTTGCTCAGGAGGACGGCACACTCTAGACTGGCAATAGAATGTCGGACACTCCAGAAGAAAGCTTGACTACGTGCAACATAGTCAATTCCCAGGCGTACAGGAATGCTTAATGCGTGCGCAGCATAGATCAGCGCAGGCGTTAGTCGATAGCTTCGTCCGGGTCGCGGTGATCGATGCAGCGCCGCGGCAATAACGTATGGGTCTCTGGTCTCTAACTGGCGGTAGGGCCCTAGATTCAAAGAAAGACGGACATAGGCCAACCCCAAAAGTGAGCTCGACGTGAATGGAATGGGGCCATTTTCATTATGGGGATTGAGACTTGATTCCGGTGCTTGCTGCCAGACAGAAGTCCAGGAACGAAGTGCCCTCCTGTGCAATGGTCAGTTTGCTGTTTGGCGTGTTATTTCATTTAGATATATAGCGAGACTCACTCCAGTTTATTTAATTCCTCTGTGGGTAATGAAAATGACTGGTCACCATTCGGAATGGAAAGTTCGCTCACCAGATGAATGCGCTGTAGAAGGCCATGGAGCAGAATGTAGTTGCCTAATGGCGAAGGGATCGGATCCAACATGACAGGCGTTCGTGACTTCTGCAGAAGTAGAGCCAGCGCATCCTGGAAGAACAACTGCTGCGAGCCAACTTCCTTTTGCGCGGCCTCCCATTCACTAGCAGTGGCGGCTTTCCATTCCTGAGTGGAACAGGGCAAGCGCAAGTGTACCTCGCTACTTCGAAGCACTGGGTAGATATTGTACGCGATGCTGTGGACATGAACAAAGCAGAAGGAAACAAGTCGAGTACGGCGAACGGACTCGTCCTCGGCCCACTCATGCCAATGCATAGGCGAATGTCTCGGAGTGACTGCGATGTTTTCAGTTAAACCAAATTCCCGCAAACACCTCACTAGTAAGTGCTGTAGAGCAAAGGCTTCCTGAACTAGTTCGGGTCCTTCCCAGCTTGCAAATCCCATCAAGACAAGCAGGGTGCGGATGTTTTCAATCTGCCGCCAGGCACTCCATCCCGGAGCATTGCCTAAAGGAAGAGGAATTGAAGAGGGTGCTTGTTGGTGAAATGTCCCCGGAACAGTAGAGAGTGGCATCTGGATGGCATTGCTGTACGACCCTCCAGTGGAGGGCTGCGCCTCTTTGGAGAGCCTGTGAAATAAGATTGTCTTTGAGGCGTAGAAAAGCCTTTCGGCATTCCGGTGCTCCAGCCGATACTGAGCACCCACGGTCAAGAAGGCTAATATCAACTCTGGCGCGCGTTCATTGATCCGTAATGTGGGGAGGTGTATGAAAGGTAAGTGAGTATGGAAGCCCTCGAAGAATGAGGTCAAGTATCTCGTCAGCGTGTGCCGAGACGGCAAAACAAAGTCAGGAATTAAGTGACGGAACTCCTCTAGAGAGGTTGCGAGCCGTAATCTCTGTTCTTCGCTCACCTTAAGAGGCGAATAATTCGTTGCTGTCTGGGGAGGTTCTTATCGACGTCAGACACAACAGCTCCTTTTCAGTTTCTCTCGTAACATACCATGATCCGATACGGTTCCGAGGCTCTGGTCACCTGGCGGTACCGAGGGCAGCCAAGATCTGAAGGGCGAGTCATCGCGGGATCCCCTCGTCTGGCCTCGACGACTTGAGCTAGGCTGCTCTCTCGTTGCTCGGCCAGGATCGGGAACTTCAGCAGGCACTGCGCTGTGAACCTGCGAGATCTCACCTTCGGTGGGAACCCATTCCGCCGGCAAGCCAATTGAGTCCAGAAAATGAGTGAAATCCTGAAAATGGTTCAGCTCTTCAGGAAGATATGGCAATGGTTGCGCTAGGAGCAATTAGCAATCCAATGATTGGTCAATATGACGCCCGATTACCTACCAACGGGTTGATTGTCTCGATAGGCACCCGGGAGGAGTAGCTGTGCCGCTTGAAGAATATCCGCATCATGAGCCACTACTGGATGCGTCTCCAGACCCGTATTGTCACCACGGTCGTGGAGCATATTTTGCTCGCCTGCCAGATACGATGCAGGATGGGCGCCGGGCCATTGCCCTATAGTAGGGGTTACAGGGAGAGGAACCTCTGCCCGCGGCATAGGTTGTGCATCATGATTCTCTTGGGCAATATGGGATTCAGCCTGCTTCGGCACCTGAATTCCCACTGGTTGAACATGAACCTGATCCTTGGCTACCTGTTCAGGTTGAGCGGTAGGTGAAGCGAGGTCATTGTCTTGATGCAAGATACGTGTGTGCCGCTTGAGGAGGTCACGGCGTGTAAAAGCCGCCCCGCAGAAACAGACGAACGGCTTCTCTTTCGTATCTGAGCAGAGCCATCAGCAAGACATGTCTACAGTATAGTTGCCAGGAGACAAAAAGCAAGGCTTGTTGGAGATGAGTGGAGAGGTCCTTACGAGTACGGATATGCCGCTCGAGATGCTCAGTTCTCCTGAAGTTCCGACCGCAATGGACGCATACGCGAGTCTTTGCTCCAACGCTTGAGCGACGAGGGCCGCGTGTGGGCTGCGACGACTGAGACAGCATCAAGACATTTGGGGTGCATAACAATACAATAATAATTAATTCTGGGATTGATACTAAAGAAAGAGGATCTCTCCACTTGGAGACGACCAGGTTGAGAAAGTGGACTTAGTGACTGGGAATCTTTGGAGGTTGGACTCGGAGAGGAAAAGTGCGACCGGGGGCAGAGCAGAGGGGGACATGGGAATACAGGCTATACAGTACGGAGTACTATACAGTACGTGGTTGACTCCAACGGCTGAGCGGGGTAGATAGATAATTAGGTAGGTAAAGCAGATGACCCCAACGGATAGGTAACTAGATACCTTCTGCTCTTCCTTACCCCACTCCCACGATAAGCATCAAGATCATTATCTAGCAGGATACTTGGGGTCTGGTTAAGCGATTTCAACACCGTCGGCAATAGCGAGATAGAAGATACTATCTCGAAAAATACAGCTATGGTGCGAACGTATTCATTCCCCGGTGTTGCAGTCATCACAGGGGCTGGCGGAACAGGTACAGTCTTATCTACCCTAGACATCGTCTCGAGCAAGTCTTCAGAAAAGGCAATCCCTTGTTGCTGAAATTTCCTAGGGATTGGTGCAGCTGTTGCAAAAGCATTTGCCTCCGCAGGATGCGAGCGAGTAGCCATAACAGACATCAACGAATCCTCTCTGACAAAGACACGAGATGCTATTTTCTCTCTCCACCCCAACATTCGTCTGGTAGTGAGAGCAGGGAATATGGCGGATGAGCAATTCGTCGAGGCCTTTATGAATGAAGTGGTGAGCACATTCGGTCGTCTCGATTATGCAGTGAACTGCGTCGGGATACTTGGGGACTCGGGTCGATCAACAGAGACAAGCACGGAGGTCTTTGACCGGATTACCAACATTAATTACAGGGGTTGCTGGCTGTCATCCAGAGCAGAGTTAAAGCAGATGCTCAAACAGGATCCTCTACCGAGCCATGATCCGGGCCGTGAGCCGCAACGGGGGAGTATTGTCAATATCGCCAGTCAGCTGGGGATTGTCTCACGTCCTGAAGCTCGTAAGCGCTCCTGTTTCTTCAACTCGAGATACTACTTGAGCGTTTACTGATACTCTTTTGAAAAACAACAGCAGCATACTGTGCCTCCAAAGCCGCCATTATCGGCATGACTCGAGCCGATGCAATAGATTATTCTGCGGACGGTATCCGCGTGAATTGTGTCTGTCCGGGGGTCATTGAGACCCCGATGACAAGCGGCAATGAGGAGGTACGTGCGCGGTTACGGCCTGCCGTGGATATTGCGCCGATGAAACGGATGGGCAAGCCAGAAGAGGTGGCAGATGCGGTTCTCTTTTTATGTTCGACGTTTGCCTCCTTCGTGCAGGGCCATGCTATGGTTGTTGATGGTGGCTATATTATCAACTAGACTCTCGGCAAAGACCGAAGGCAAAACGTACTTCACACGGACTCGGATTAGCCTCTACAACAGGTATTGTCGAATTGACCTTATCTATTCTAAACATTCATTGTAAAATTTTCTCCTTCCAGTTGAAGTGGGTCTCCCATGCATGACCGGCTCGCAGGACTTTCGATTCCTGCCACAGTCCTCCTACAATCTGCATCCCCACCGGCAGTTGGACGTCCGCATCGTCCTTGGCAGGGGCAAATCCAACAGGAATGGACATTGCGGGCTGGCCAGTTACGTCAAAAATTGCAGTATTTATCGTGAGACCCATGCTCGGCTTCACCGACTCCAATGGAAGACCACGCTTCCCGTGTCTAGGTGCAACGACCGGAGTAGTAGGCATGATCACCACATCGTACTTCTCAAAGATCGTCTCGTAGAGATCTCGAAGCCTCCGGCCGATGTTCATGGTTTTGCCGTAGAGATCCGGGAACCGCGAGCTAAGGTACAACCCATTGATGATGACGTTCTTCGTTGCTGGAAAGGCTCTCTGATAGCTATCGTTCGTCCACGGGAGTCTTGCGCGCTCCATTTCAGTCAGATACAGGCCTCTTCTTCCGTGGGCATTCCCCAGGAGATTCATGGAGCCTGCTATGCGCTGTTGAATGGTCCAGATGGCGGGGCCTTGCAAGTGCTCGGGGAGTGAAATCTCCTCAACTATGGCACCAAGCTCTTTGAATTTCTGGGCGGCCATTCTGACACAGTCCCTAACTGCGGGATCGACAGCCGCGTGCTCAAATCCTTCTTTCAACAAGGCAATCCTGAAGCCGTCGAGCCTCGTCGGTTCTGCCTGAAGTGTCTGAGCAAACGCTGTTGATCCGGGTTTGGGACTGCCGAGCGATCTGTCGTCTATTCCGTCATAGCCACTGATAGCATCCAGGCAGAGGGCAATATCTTGCACGTTCCGAGCCAGTGGTCCGGCATGGTCATTCACCGCATCGCCACTTGCAATACCGGTGAACGGAACCAGGCCATGTGTGGGCTTCAGACCAACGCCTGCGGGAGAATATCAGTGAGGCATTCAACTGTCTTATCTGGGGCAATCATACAGCCACATAGTGACGCGGGCACTCGGATACTCCCACCTTGATCACCACCTATTGTAATATCCACCAAGCCACCGGCCACCAGAGCAGCCCCGCCAGATGTGCTACCACCGGCAGAATAACCAGCCGCAAAAGGATTCTCGACTATACCCTGAGCACTAGTATAGGAGCCGGTGGAATGGCAGAAGTTTTCGCATGTCGAGGTACCCAGAATGTCAGCGCCGGCATGCAGGAGTCGCGTAACGACTGTCGCATCGGTGATTGGTGTCCAAGCCGGAATCACATCGCTGCCCAGTAGCTGAGGGACGCCAGCAACTGCAATGCAGTCTTTCAAGCTGACCGTCTTTCCAGCCAGGGGACCTCCATCGGGGTCACCCTTGATCAAGAATTTATGCGCCCACGCCTGACCAAAAGCCTGCTCTTCCGGCGACGGTCGCCGTATGTTTTGTCGTGGATAACGTGATAGATCAGGTACAGGCTGGTAATCTGGTAGTTTCGCGACGTCCTCTGCGCAATCATGGACGGCTGCTAGGAGAGTATGGAAATCATCTGCTTCATCGGGGTTGACTGAGAGGCCAAAATTATTCAGAAGGAGCTGCGCGTCTTCCTTCTTCACAGGGTTGTCTCTGTACGAGCTTCGTAAGTTCTGTCCTTATAGTCTATCATGCTGAGATCGAACTTACGCGGAAATCGAGGTAAACAGGACTGACATGATGAGCCTGGGATATGCACAACTTGGACACGTGGAAGAGGCCAGCGATGTCTTGGAGAGATTGAAGAAAAGAATCTGTTACACAACCTCATTCTCGAGAGCTGCACTCAAGATAGCTATCGCCGTAGAAGGACGTACTCCAACTTGAACAACTCCAACTGCACAGAAAGCTCCCTTATCATGCATGTTGGAGACGATATTTGGAGTCTTCTCCTTGTCGGGGCCCCACTTCTAGGCTGGAGTTATCAATAATGATTAACGGCCGAATGAGCCTTACCATATCAGAATAGTCACTGCTATCAGATCCATTATCCTGGGATGAGGGGAAATTCCCCCATCTCCGCACAGGATAAGCGTCCAGCCTGCCTTTTTTGCTACAGACTCAAATCGAACGATCCGAGACTGACTAGTCGAAATCATTGCGCCTAATTGGAAATACTTCTAACCAACAATATATATCCTTGGACACGACCTTGTGGCACTTCACCGACGATTTAGAGTTGGTTATATTCCCACATTTACACCTCCACCAACGAAACTCTCTAACCTCGACACAAGCTGGAAATCGTAGAAATGGGCAAGAAGCGCGTTCTCGTCACTTATGGCGTCGATGTCGATGCAGTCGCCGGCTGGCTTGGTTCTTACGGAGGAGAAGACTCAACAAATGATATCAGCAGAGGTGATTCATGCAGTCAATGTGGATTCTAGGGGTTGCTCAGTTGCTGACTTGCCATGAATAGGAATTTGGGCTGCCACTGTCGGCACGAGGCGTCTTCTAAAATTCTTCGACAAGTACGGTATCAAATCGACATGGTTCATCCCGGGTCACTCGTTAGAATCATTCCCCGAAGAGATGGCTGCCGTGCGCGACGCTGGCCATGAGATCGGTCTCCATGGATATTCGCACGAGAACCCGAAGGACATGACGTTCGAACAGCAGCGGGATGTCCTAGACAAAACCTACCGGATGTTGACCGAGTTCTGCGGAAAGCCACCTCGTGGAAGCGTTGCCCCGTGGTAGGTTCTTTTTCTGTATGTTGCAAATAGCCTCCTGCTGATACAGAGCCGTAGGTGGGAAACGAGCAAAGAAGGGGCTCAATTGCTTTTGGACTACGGGATCGAGTACGACCATAGCATGAGCCACGAAGACTGCCAAGCGTACTATCTGCGAACAGGAGATTCCTGGACCAAGATCGACTACAGCAAGAGAGCAGAAGAGTGGATGAAGCCTCTGGTTCCTGGTCAGGAGACGGGGCTGGTAGAGATCCCTGCAAACTGGTACATCGACGACCTGCCTCCGATGATGTTCATCAAAGCAGCCTCGAACAGTCATGGATTCGTCAACCCTCGTGATGTCGAAGACATCTGGCGCGATCACTTTGACTATTTTTACCGGGAGTATGACACATTCATCTTCCCAATCACAATCCATCCCGACGTTTCTGGACGGCCACCTGTGCTTCTCATGCATGAAAGACTCATCGAGCACTTTAAGAAGCACGACGGAGTGGAATTCGTGACTATGGAGCAGGTTTGCGATATCTTCAAGAAGGAAAACCCAGCACCTGAAGGCGCGCTCATGCCAGCCGAACCAGGAGCCATTCTCAGGAAATAATTACATAGAGTCCGCTTATCTTAATTACTATGGCAATTCTCCAAAATTGATATCAACTGTCTCAGGTATTAAACTTCAAGGTGCTCAAATGCCATCAGTGATAGCCAACAGATGGATCGTCTCCAACACTCCTCCGATACTCCAACTGCCAGAAGTGAAGCTGCAGATACTGAAATTACCCCAGACTCCTAT